CGGCGGGAGGGCCAGCAGGGGGGCGGGAGGCCCCGCGCCCCCCGCGGGCTGGTGGGCTGGGCCAGGCGGCCCCAGTGACCGAGCCCCGTCGCCCGCAGCTCCTTCCTCTGCGCCTTCCTGAACCTGCTGGCCGGCTCCTTCGCGGTGCTCCTGGTCTTCATCGCCAGCACGGTCGTGAGCGTGGGCTTCGCCATGTGGTGCGACGCTGTCACCGAGAAGGGCACCGTGCCCCACAGGTGCGCCCCTGACGGCACCTTCGTGGACGACTGTCCTGAGCCGCGAGCCGCCTGCCGCCTGCCTGCCAGCTGCCCCCGGGACCTGCCCCTCCGAGTCACTGTCCCCCTTCCCGGTTCAGGGAGCCTGAAGCCCCCTACAGGGCGGAACCCCGGGTGTGCCCGGTGTGGGGCCAGGAGGTCAGAGCTTCCAGTGCCCGTCACGTCCCGCGGGGTGGACCCCAGGTCCCCGTTGGTGGCCTTGGTCCCCGAGGGCTCGGAAGGGATCGGGGAGCAGGTGGGGGTGGGGGCAGAAGACTTGGGCTGCGGACAGAGGTCCTCGGGGCCCTGAGCAGGGGTGGCGTCTGGCTTGGGGGCCACCCAGGGTAGAGCGCAGTGACCACCTGGCCCCCAAGGGACTGCCTGCTGCTCGGCCCTAAGGGGGAGCGTTCTGGGGAAGGCAGGACCCTTGGGTCACCTCTTGTAGAGGCTCCACATTCTTTATTTAAGCGAAATCAGGCCTAGAACCCCGACACGTAAGATGGACGGAGGAGCGGAGGTGGGGGCTCCTGCTGCACCCTCACCCTGGGGGCCTGGGCCGCACACCGGAGGAAGGCGCGAGCACCCTGGAACCCTCCGCCAGGCAGCCCCTCGCGGTGGGGGTGTCTTGCCTGCACTGACCCTGCCGGGCCCCCAGACCACCTGCTCCCTTGCCCTCCAGGATCCCTCAGAGTCTGGGGGACCCTGGGCACGGCCTCGGCCTTCTCCAGAAAGACGCCCCAACTCTCTCTGCCCTTCACCACAGCCCCTCTGGGATGAGCCCTGGCCGCCAGCCCCACCATCTCTGGGCTCCACGCCCCTGTAATGTGTCCGGCCGTCTCAGGGGCTGCAGGCCTGGAGCCCCTGTCCGTCCACTCCAGCCCCTGAGGCCCGGCCCGGCCCGGCCACCCACGGGGCCTTGTAGGTTCGCCCACTGGGCCCCGTGTTACTGTTGGCCTGTGCTGCGGGGGTGGGCAGGACGGTCCCGCTCCTGAGGCCTGTGACCCTGCAGGGCTGGGGGCCGTGGGGGACAGGGACAGTCTCCAGGAGAGCAGAGGCCAACGTCACTGTCCTCCACTGTCCTGGGCGGGTTGGGGCCAGCTCTGCAGGGTCGCTGTCCCACAGACAGGCGTCCCCCACCTGCCCCACCTCGGGGACCACCCCCTGCCCTTCGGGGGTGACGCTCACTGCTCCCTGTGCTCAGTGGCCCAGCAGGGACCGTGCCCCTCTGTGCCTTGCCATTTTAGCTGCGAAGAGCTGCAGGACATCGACTTGGAGCTAAACGTGGACAACTCTGCCTTCTACGACCAGTTCGCCATCGCCCAGGTAGGTGGGGTGCCGGGCAGGAAGCAGGGTGTGCCCTGACCTCCAGGAAGCCCCAGTCCACTCTGGGGACCTCATGGGCTGCGACGCAGGCATGCCCGATGTGTCGGCGGTCAGAGAGGGCCCGCATCCATGTCCCGGGGGGTGACGCTGATGGCCCTGAGGATGCCTGGGTGGGGTGGCTCTTTCCAGCACCGAGCAGGGCTGGCCGGCATCTGCGTCCCCTCTGGACCCCAGACAGGCTGCTCGAGGCCCACGCTGGCCGGTGGCCGGCCCGAGGACTGGGCGGGAGGAGCCCTCTGGGCGTCCGGGCAGCGGCAGGTCAGGGGCTCTGGCGAGAGGAGCTGGAACCGCCAGAGACACCTTCACGCAGACGGGGCGGAAAATGCTTCGGCCTGGATCGGGCCCGTTAGGCGAAGGAGGGGGCGAGGGGTCTGATAAATGCCCGTGAGTGAGAGCCGGTCGCCGCGGCTCGGCCTGGCTCTGCTTCAACGGCTGGTGACTGCAGATAAAGGTCAGTTTGTTCCAGCCGCTGCAGGAGGCTCCGTTAGGGACCAGCTCCCCTTGGGGCTGGGTGGCCCAGCTGCTGGCAGACGGGCTGCTCTGCCATTGTCCTGCCAGGGACAGGGGACGGCCCAGCCTGGGGGCCAGGGTGGGGGCAGCAGAGGCCCTAGAGCACCAGCACGGCCGGGGACAGGAAGCAGTGGCTGCGTGAGGCAGGAAGAGGGTGGACCCCAGGACCCACCCACCGTCCCCCGCCAGGGGTCCCGTCCTTTCCCTGGAGGAGGGGGGCACCAGCGGAGGGCTCTGGGTCTGGCCGGCCCCTGAGCCCCTCTCTGCCCTGTGCAGTTTGGTCTCTGGGCCTCGTGGCTGGCCTGGCTGGCCGCCACCACGCTGGCTTTCCTGAGAGTCTACCACAGCTACCGCCAGGAGGACCTGCTGGACAGCCTGCTGCAGGAGAAGGAGCTGCTGCTGGCCAGGCCGGGCGCCCGCGGCTCCTTGCGGGAGGACAGCGCCGTCATCTAGGCGGCCCCAGGGGCTCGCCCGCCCAGGGCCGCGAGTCCGCCCTGGCGCGTGTCCCCGGCAGAGCCCCTGCCCCAGCCTCGCATGTCCACCCCCCGCTGCCCGGTGCTGCGACCGCTCACCCCACCACCCCTGCTGCCACCGTAAGCGAGGCTGCCGAGTGGGGCGGGGACCTCTGGGCTCCACGCAGCTGCCCCGGGGCCCGGCTGGGGGGCGTCCTCGCCGGCGCCTCTGGCACACCCTGCCCCTTGCTCAGGTGTCATCCTGTGCACGGCTCCGTGGCATGCAGTAGCCCATGACGGCCACACGTCACTGTCGCCACGTGCTCCTGAGTGGTGTGTGGGACGAGGACTCGGGGCCGAGCGCAGGAAGCGGCCCACACGGTCCCCGCCTTCGGCTGAGTCCCCTCTGCTCCTGCCCCGGCCTGGTCTGGGCATTGAACATTCAGGGACAGTGGTGTGGCCTGGACGCGGGGGGTGGCTGCACGGCGTCCTGGATGGTGTACCCTCCATCCTCTGCCACGGGACTTGCCTGGGGACACCCTGTCTCCGAGGGACCCCTGCGCCCCGCGTCTGTCTCGCTGTGCGTGGGGGGAGAGATGGGGCCGGGGCCATCGTGGGTGTCTGCGTGTGCGTGTGAGGGTGTGAACGTGTGAGGTGTGAGTGTGCGTGTGCTGAGTGTGCACGCATGAGCGTGAGTGTGCGCATGAGGCTGTGTGGGGAGGTTGTGAGCGTGGGAATGTGTGGAGGAACATGAGTGTGCACACGCGTGAGTTGCAAGTGCATGAGTGAGCGTATCCGTGTGAGCCTGTGCTGCGCAGCGTGTGACTGAGTGTGTGAGCATGCGTGTGCACGCACAGGAAGGTGTGGGCCGAGGCCAGAGCAGGTGAGGACACACAGTGCACCTGCCCCCACGGGGGGCCCGGTGCCCCAGCCGCTGGACGAGGGGGCCCCAGGGGGCACGATGCCCCCCTCAGCAGCAGGAGGAGCAGGAGAAGCCTGGACCCCGGAGCTCAGTGATGACAGCCTGGTGGGGCTGCTAGGCTGTGCCCCCCCTTCAGGGGCCCCCCGCTTCCCCACCCGCCCACAGCCCGCTGCGTCCTGTCCAACAGTGGGGACCCAGGGCTTTCGAAGCAGCTCTAGCCTCTTGGGCTGGCTGCTGCCGAGCTTGCCCCGCTTCTGCACCCCACCCTTGGAAGAGGGAACCCCGAGTCCCCCGTACATGGTGCCCACCACCAGTGATGGCTTCGGTCTCCCGGCCGGGGCACGGGGCCTCAGGGGCCGTGGGTCGGGGCCTGGAGACTGGTGCCGGGCGGGGCAGGCAGCTGGGCGGGGAGGGGGTGGTGAGGCAGCAGGTCACTGTGATGCTGGTCAGTCCACGACTCTCCTGGGGGGGCGGGGCCAGGAGAGCGGGTCCTGGCATGGCAGAGGCGCGCTGGCCCCAGGCCCGGCCGAGCTCCAGGCAGAGCAGCCAGGTCTCCTGGGGCTGGTGTTTTGACAGACCCTGAGGCCCCCAAGCAGACCTGGTCTCGCCCCAGCCCTGCCCATGGGGACCAGTTCCAGCCCATGAGAGCCCCTCATCTGTTCCCCGCAGAGGGTGACAGCCCCTGCCTGCCCCCCATTCGAGCAGCAGCCAGTCAGGCCCAGGGGGAGGAGCGGGGCCGGGACGCAGGCTCTGAGCTGAGGGTCTGCCAAGGGCTTGGCTCTGCATTCGCGGGTTGCCTGGAGCTGGTCTGGGGCAGGTTAGTAGAGACCTGTGGCCACTTCTTGCAGGGCCACTTACAGAGGAGGGCAGTCACTGACGCCCAGGCCTGTCTCCAGCTGGCTGCACCCGGCACCCCCAGACGTCCACGCCCCGAGGGTGTCCGGGAAGGGGGCAGCTGGGCCCGGGCCCGGGAGCGGGTGCTGGGGCAGGGCCTGTGTGCCTTGTGGTGGGCGGGGCTGGCCCTCCAGGACCGGGTGGGAGGGGCAGGCGGTTGGCAGGCCTGGGGCTCCCGGCTGTGCCCCCCATTGCTTCTCCCTGCTGTTCGATAACGGACATCTGTGTTTTAATTCTACTTCTGGCTAAACTGAAAGTAAAGATTCCTGAACTTTCATGCGTCTGTTTCTTGAGGCCAAAATAAAAGCAGGCGCTCGGACCCCCTCACGGGCCGCCTCAGCCCCTTTCGGTGTGTTGTCTGCTCGTCGTTTAAGGGGTGAGATCCGCGTTTGCTCCTGGGGTTCCTGAACCTCCAGGTGGTAGGAGCCATGCCCATGGCCCCTGCCCCGCACACCGGGGGTCCCACCGGCTCGTTCCGCTGCTCCCACGTGCAGGCAGCTATGGGTGGGGATTGCTCAGGGTGCCGGTGTCCACCTCGAGTGTTTTTCCAGGGATGATGGGATGCAGTCTGTGGGCCTCAGGGGCCAGCACGACTCTGTGGCCTTCGCAGCGACCAGCCCCTGGCTGAGAGCCGCGGGCGGTGAGGAAGGGCAGCCTCGTCCCTCCCTGCAGCCGCGGTCGCCAGGTTGGGCGGGGCCAAGCCTGGGGCCTGTGCCTGCTTGAGCTCAGGCACGTGACCTGGCCGTTCTAAGCCTCAGTTTTCCCATCTGGAATATGGCTGATAACCTGCCAGTCCTCTCGTGGGGGTGAGGTGAGGTGGGGTTCTGGGGGCTGGGCTGATGCGGGAGGGAGGATCCCCAAGGGCCAGGGTCTGGGCCCCCGCTGTGGTCCCCTCTCTGCTGGGCCTCCTGCCGTGGACTGGTCTCCTGGGCCCTGAAGCCAGGAGGGGCGCGGCGTCCCCACCTCTGCTTGAGCCCCGAGGTGAATCCTGCGGCGAAGTGGCCCCATCCCCCCTCCCGGTGAAACCCCCAGGCGGAGAGAGCAGCAGTGCGTTTTAACAGCAAGTCAGCTGTGCAGGTGGTGGGGACAGACACTGAGGGGGCAGCCCCCGGATGCGCGTCCGAAGGCTGTCCCGGGCGGGCTCGGCCCGACGCCGGCAGTCCCTCCCGGTGTCTGACCACCGGTCTCCCTGCCTTGCCCAGGCCTCCCCGCTCCACGCAGGTCTGGAGGGGCCCCTGGAGCTTGTCACTGATGCCCTGACTCTCGGCCCTTCGCCGTGCCCCTCCGCTCCACACCACCAGGCAGATGGCTGGGCAGCAGCTGGACAGGACGCATTTCCCCTGGGGCATGAGGGGATCCCAGGCCGGGCCCAGTGTAGGGTCACAGCTGGGTGCCCCAGCACCACCCGCGAGGTAGAGGGTCAGGGGCGGGGGAGGGACTGCCACCCACACCGACGACCCGGCCCGTCTCTCCCCACCGAGTTCCGGGGTGTGGACCCTGCAGGCCTGAGGGGCAGAAGGCCATTGCCGTGTCCTGGGACGGGGAGGGGGGTGTCTGACTGGCCGGGGGTTCTGCAGCGAGCAGGTCCCGATTTTAGTAGTGGAAACTGCTAATAAAGGCTCTCACGAGACGCCGGCCTGTGAGACGGGGGTCCTGCCGCTAAGCGTGGGCTGGGCCACCTGCTGCGGCCGCGCGTCTGGTCTGGAGCCCTGGGCGCCCTGCCCGCCGGGCCGCAGGTGTGGAGGTGAGCGTCCGGCTGTCGCGCTGCCGTTGGGCGCCGTCAGAGCTGCAGGACGCAGTGCCGCAGGCGCAGGACCAGGGCGAGGAGCCGGGCCTGGAGGTCCTCGAGGGCCAGTGCGATGGGCTTGGTCCCCGCACAGTACAGGCCCAGCGCCAGGCCCAGCAGGGCGCACAGGGACAGCCGCAGGAGCAGGGAGCCTCTGTGCCGCTGGGGCCGGCTGGGCGCTGGGGGCCGGAGGGGACGAGGTGAGCCCCAGCCTGCAAGCTGACCCCCCAGGAGGACCCTGGGGCCCCCTCCTCCCTGTGGGGCTGGAGGGGAGCTGCAGGGAGACCTGGCCCTGCGGCTCTGCCCCTCAATGCCCGTGGGTGTGGAGCTCCCCTCTCCGTGCCTGGGGCCTCTGGGAGGCTGTCCAAGGTGGCCTGGGGCTGGGCCGCACCAGGCCCCTGCGGGAGGCGGGGCGCGGGCTCAGACTTACCCGCGGAGCTGGCGGCGGTGCTGGCGGTGGGCTCCCTGCGGGCGATGTCTGCGAAGGAGAACAGAGTGGGCTCGCAGTGAGGGGTCCCGGCGGGGGGCACGCCGAGCCTGCCGAGCACCCCCAGGGCTCCGCACCTCATCCGCCCCCGCTAAGGACCGTGAGCCAGGCCGGGCTGGGCACAGCCCTCGGTTCACAGATGGGAGACCAGGCCACGTGCTCCCCGGCCGGCCACTCTGCCCGCACCTCCCAGGGTCTGCCCCGCCTCACTGCTGCTCCGGCGGCCCAGGAGCTTGGTCCTCGGAGCCTGTGGGAGCGCGGGGCGTGGTGACCCCACAGGCAGCCTGGGGTAGGGGCACTTCAGGAATGATGGGCCCGGGGCAGCACCCAGAGAGGGCCCAGCTGGGCCCCCACTCTCGTCTCACCCACATGGCTTAGTGGGGACCCCAGACGGCCTTGGGACAGTCTGGGCCCTGACTCCCCATCTGCAGAGTCTGCTTCAGGGCTGTCCGAAGGCTCTGGGGGGCGGGGGGAGTGGTCTCTCTGTGGGGGCGAGGGCTGAACCCCGAGGGGCCACCGGGGAGACGTTCCGTGAGTCAGGGCAGCTTCGGAAGACTCGTGAAGCACTTTTCCTGGGGGGTTGTGGCGGGCAAAATCCGTCCCCGTGATTCCCACGCCCCAGGGGCCCTGCCTGTCCTGTCTCCCGCACTCAGTGTAGGGGGCTGTGACTCCTTCCCACCCAAAGGAACATGGCGAAGGCGGGGGGACTCCGCGGCCGTGAAGAAAATCCCCAACCGGTCAGCTCTGAGTGACTCCAAAGGCCGTTATCGTGGGTGGGCCTGACCCAATCAGTTGAGCGCTTTAAAACAGGGTCTGGCGGTCGGAGGGAGGGTGCGCTGGCCTCGACGGGGCGGCCGCTGTGAATTCTACAGCAGCTGGGAAACGAATCCTGCACACAACCTTGGGAGCTTGGAACAGGCCCCGAGCCCCGGGCCTGGCCGACCCCTGGGTGGCAGCTTCGCGGGGGGCTGGGCAGAGGGCCAGCGATGCTGTGCTGACCCTTGACCCATGGGGACACCGAGAGTGAACGTGGGCCGTGCGAAGCCGCTGAGGTCGTGGTGATTTGTCGCACGGCGTGGCCAGCTGACACGGGGCTGGGTCCCACGGGAAAGGCCAGAGCAGGAGCGGGGGCCAGGGGAGGGGAGGGTCGATGGTGGTGAGGGGGCTCGGGGGCAGGGGGCGCCTCGAGAGCGCCGGACGGGAGTGTGCGGGCATTCGGCACGCCGGCCCCACCGGCCCTTCCGCGAGAGGACGGGACGGCCGGTGTCTGGGCAGCTCTGGTCATGTCGTTTTCTGCCGGTTGCTGTGTTATTGGCTGTCGCTCTGTCTGGACGGACCCTGCGGGCCCAGGTTTTATTGGGGTTCGCCAGTGAAGGCAGAAGTGGCCCCTCATGAGGACGTGGGACCGCGTCGCCCACCCCACGTAGCCCCGGGCCAGGTCTTACAATGGATGGCCACCTCCAGGGGCTCGTGGAACTGCACACGCCTCGAGGTCCTCTGTGGCTCGGGCCTGTGGCTGTGGCTTCGTCTCAGGATCGACGGGGGGCACTTCCGGTCACCCTCCTGGGGTGAGGGTGGGGAGCAGGGGAAGCAGGCAGCAGTGAGTCCCTCCCGCCAGGAGCCCCACCACCTCTGCTGGTCCGTGCAGCCGCACTGGTGGGGACCGGACAGCGCGCCCTGCAGCCCAGGCCTCCGTCCCCAGCCCCAGCACAGCGGGGCGCCCCAGGAGCAGCCACAATCCGATGGCTGTGTTAGCCATGCCACGGACGTGGTCAGTGCCCACTCAGGCCCACGTCTGCCCCCAGGCTTGGCGAGGGGCCATGATCGTTTTCACGTGTCAGCAGTGACAATGACGATGGTGGCTCCGACACCCACTGAGGGCTGTCTTCACGTCTGAGCTGCACGGATGAGACCTCGCTGACCCCCGAACGCTCTGCGTGGGGGTCTCCCCTGCCCGGGCACCAGGGAGGCGCCAGGCCTGAGCTGGCCCTGTCCCAGCTGGGCACCCTGTGAGGGCCCAACAGCCGCCTCCTGTCACACACTGGACCTTTGTCACTTGCCTGTGAGCACCAGGCCACTGGGCCAGGGAGGGGCAGAGCCTGGACTCACGTGCCCCCCAACCCAGTTCCCCCGACCTCCTCCGTCCGGCCCCTCCTGCCCCTCCCGCGCGTGGTGTACCCTCCCTCCTGCCCTGGTTGGACACTGCACCTTGGTCATGCTGTGCCCTCCCTGGGGCCTGACACCCTCTCTGCCAGACCAAGGTGCACTTGAAGTGTCACCCCTGAGAATTCCCTCCCCGGGGGCCCTGGGGGTGGGGACTGCTCGAGCCCCCTTCTATCTCCCCTACCCTCCACCCCCAGTGGGGGCCCAGCTCACAGAGCTGGTGCCATGGGCCCCGACGCTGGGGACCCAGGCCCCCCCGGAACCCCCTTACCTGCCTCACCCTGGGCCTCGGTGAGCCCTGAGTGGCCTGCGCATTCTTCCTGGTCTGAGGCGTCTCTGGCCGGGAGTCGGGGCTCGAGGCCCGTGCCGCGGTCCTCATTTACTGTGACATGGTCCTGGAGAAGCAGAGACGTCATTGCAGAAAACTGCGGGGAGCCGGCTGGCTCCCTCCGGCCATCGGCCGCCCCGCAGGCAGACCCGGCCTCCCTCCCAGGTACCCTGTGCCCAGAAGCCTCAAGACTGCTGCCGTGGGCGGCTCTCCCAGGGCAGTGGAGCCAGTCCCCAAGGGCCCTGGGGGTGACAGGCCCACAGCATTGCAGCCCACGAGGGGAAATCGAGGCCAGAGTCGGCTGGGCTTCCCCCACGCAGGGCCCCCAAGGCCAGCCCAAAGGACCACGGCGCCTCACGGTGGGGAGGGGCTGGCGCCAGGGGAGGCAGCGTGACCCGGGCCGCTGTGCCACCTCCCACCTGGGGGTTGGCCCTGGGCCCCTTCAGCAGGCTCCTGTTAACCCCGCCCCCCGGTTGCCCCGGGCCCGCCTCGATCGCATCAGAAGGGACCGGTCTCCTACCGCAGGTAAGGTCACAGAGGGCGCCACCAGCCAGGAGGACGAGGCCGAGGGAGCCGGCCTATTTGAAGGCCCAGGGCACCTGAGGCCCGGCGGCCTGCCATGGGGCCAGACGCAGAGGCCGCCAGTGGCCCAAAGCCCAGGACGGGGTCCCGGGTGATGAGGAAGCAGACTTGCAGGGGCTGGGGGCTGGCCGAGACCCGCGGGGACCCACAGGCCCGGACACCGGGCAGCCCTGCGACAACACCCAAGCATGGAGCCCCACTGCACGCAAGGTGGCGGGCAGCAACATGAGTGCACACGTGTGAGCATGCGTGTGTTTGTGGGAGTGAGTGTGTTTGTGTGGGAGTGTGCAATGCATGTTAGTGTGTGAGGGTGAGTGTACATCTGTGGAATGTGTGATATGTATGTGTGTGTGCCTGCATTTGTGTATGTGACTGAGTGTGCACATGTGTGTGATGTATGATATGTAGTGAGTGTGTACATGCATTTGTGTGTGTTAGTGTGAGTGTGAATGTACATCTGTGGTGTGTGATACATGTGTGTGTACGTGAAGTTTTGTGTGAGTGAGTATAAATCTATGTGATGTGTGATACGGATGTGTGAATGAGTATGCATTTATGTGTGAGTACGTCTGTGATTGTGTGATGCATGCGTGTGTGTATGTGTGTGCATATACATCTGTGTGATACGTGTATGTGCACGTGTGCGTGCATTTGTGTGAGTAGACATCTGTGATATGTGTATGTGTGCATTTGTGTGTGTGAGTATACATCTGTGTTACATGTGTGTGTGCACACATGTGTGCGTTTTTGTGTGTGCGTGTATATTTGTGTGACACATGTGCATGCACATGTGCATGCGTTTGCCTGTGGGTGTGTGTACATCCACGTGACACGTGTGTGCATGTGCGTTCATTTCTGTGTGGGTGTGAGTGTACATCCGTGTGACACATGTGTGTGCATTTTGCGCGTGGGCGTGAGTGTACATCTGTGTGACACATGTGTGCGCGTTCATTTGCGTGTGGGCGTGAGTGTACACCTGTGTTACACTGTGTCTGGGGTTTTCATCTTCCCGCAAACATCTTGGGGCACACTATTGGCCGTGAAACGTACCATGGCCCCTGCCGTGTGGTCCCGCCGTGTGGTCCCGCCCCAGGCCGACAATGCCCTCGCGGTTACTCCCGCTTTTAGACCACGGAAAACCGGGCCCTCATGGTGGTCTGAGCGGCGACCAGGGGACGTGGTGGTTTAGGACAGTGACCTGTGCAGCGCAGTCACCCAGTCACCGCCCTGCCATCCACCCAGTTCACCAGCTACGCAGGTGGCGGGGCCGAGCAGACGCACAGGCTCCCAGAGCGCGGGGTCCCGGTCTGAAGCTTGGGCGGCGACAGTGGGTGGTGGGCGCGCAGGGCTTCTCGCCACACAGCGCGAGCTCAGTTCTGCAGCCGCAGTGGCTTCCAGGCTGCGTATTTTCACTTGCACGATAAAGTCTAATTTTGTTGTTAATGTTTTGCGTTTCGTGTGTCTTTTTTAATGTGTCTCTCATATTTCATTATCTTATTTTTTTACGGCAAAATCGCCTTACCACGAGTTAACAATGTGGCGTAAATGTTTGTGGTGAAGATGCTTGTGACGAACATACATAAACCAGTGTGTCCATGTGCGCAGGTGTGTGTGCTGTGTACGTGTGTTAGTGAGTGAGCTTGCATGTGCTTGTGTAATCACGAGCACCTGTGAGTGTGTCTGGGTGCACGCGTGTGCAGGTGTGCCGGTGCCCGTGGAACGTGTGAGTGTGTGTCCCTGGCAGTGACCGAGCAGCGTAGCTCAGTGGTTCTGGAGTGGGCAGGCTGATGGCTTCAGCCAACTTCATCGCATGCCTCGTGTGACCGTGCGTGACCCTGGGCAGGTCTCTGCCCTCTGTGCCTCAGTGTACCCAGCTGCCACATGGGAACAACAGCAAACCCGCGTCCAGGGCTCAGAGGTGAACCTGGGACGGAGCCTGCGCTTGGTGACATCAGCCACTGCTACTAGTTCTCAGGGAGAGGGTGTGACTTCGTACACCTGGGACAGTTCCAGCCCCTAGTGGACAGCGAGGACTCCCTGTGGGACGTCCCCTTCCCCTTCACTTTCTCTGGCCATGAGCCTTGGCCTGAGCCCTTCTCTGCTCCCAGGTGGCCTCCTCACCGGGGCGGTCCTGCCCCCACCCCCGTCCCTCTAGAAGGCTGGCTTGAGTGGTACATTTGGCCCCAGGGCTGGCTTGAGTGGTACATTCCGCCCTATTTGGCTCAGGGAGCTCAGTCAGCGGGGTGGCTGCTGTGGGCCTCGGTTTCCCCACCGTAACGCAGGAGAGGATGAGGCTCAGGCATGCCCGGCAGGTGCCGCTGGCTCTCAGTACTGCCTCCTGCCCCCCCAGGCCTCTGCGTGGGCCCCCCCAGGGCTGGACGGTGGAGGGCGGGGCCTGCGTGGGGGCCTCTGGCAGGGCTGCTGCGTAACCCGAGTGCCCTCTGCTCTGAGGCCAGCTCTGACAGATGGGTGATAAAGGGTGGAAAATAGCTCCGGGCCAGGGGCCTGCAGGGTGTCACCCTGCCCCCACCCTGGGGAGGCCACGCCCCTCTAACCCTGGCTCCTCACCCCTTTCCAACAGTGCAGGCTGGGCATGGCCTCGCATCCTTGGGGCCCGACAGTCGACAGTCCGTGGTGTCGCCCTGTGCCCCCTCCCTGCCCACCTTGGCTCGAAGCCCTTGGGAGACGGTGACAGCTCCCACAGGGCCCTGGGACCCCCAGAGCTCTCTCCCAGCCCCCCCACTCCCACAGCCCCCAGGATGCACAGGGCAGGCCAGGCCAGGCGTCTGGCCCGGTTCAACGCCTGGGCCCAGCCACCTCCCTGCCGCCCACCCAGCACCAGGCCCCCTTAGGCCGCCTGCTGGGCTTCCCACCTCCTCCTGGGCCGGGCAGTCACGGGCTGTCACGCCTCCATGCCCTGACACGCATGCTCGTCCTGCCTCGCGCCCCCTCACCACGGCGCTGGCCGCTGGCGCGTGTCCACGCTCGCCGGGCGTCCCTCCGAGACACCCAGCGCGTGCTCGCCCTGCCCGGGGAGGGTCAGTCCCCAGCTCCCCCCGTGGCTGGCTGTGGCCAGGCACCCCCAAACCCCGTACTGTGCCCGGCCCCCCAGAGGACCACACACTCAGGGGCAGAGGAGCTTGCTGAGGCAGAGGGACCCCCCAGGTCCCTGACAGAGCCACGGCCAGGCCCCCCTGCTGTGCTGGCGCTGGTGACACCCCCTCCCGGGGCCCTGGGGAGGGCAGGAGAACCATGAGAGGACCTCGCCTGGGAGGGACTGGAGTTACGGGGCGCTGGCTCACACCCCACATGCACATACACACACTCATACGTGCACAGACAAGCTGGAACACGCACTCACACCTACATATGCACAAACGCTTATACGCCACATCCACACACTTATACCACACATACTCACACTCTGCACACTCACACCCCACACTCACACACTTATACACCCACCCACACACACACACCACACATACGCCACATACTCACACCCACGCTCACTCCCCCGCACACTCGCGCACGCTCGCCGGCCCACCTGGCCCACACATACGCCACATACTCACACCCACGCTCACACCCCCGCACAGTCCCGCACGCTCGCCGGCCCACCTGGCTCCTGCAGCTGGCCCGCCTGCCCCTCTGTCTGCGGCGTCGGAGCCCGGAGCAGAGGGGAACCGGAGCTGCCGCGGCTCACGAGCCAGCCCAGAAGATTCCCTTACAGCCGAGGCCGTCCGTCTCCCCGCCTCTGGGCAGTGCAGCCCGGAGGGGGCTCTCGCCCGGGGCTCGGTGGCTCTGGGTGGCGTGCGGCCTCCCCACGCGCCAGCGTTTGCTCCGGGCAGCTTGGCCGAGTTGAAGGGGACTGAGGCTGTGCTCTTTCCCAGCTGGAAAGGCGATGGGAGGCCGTGGGCTCCCCCTGCCAGCCTCTCCCCCTCCAGAGGGGCCGGTGGGGGCTCCCCAGATAACACGCACTTCTGAATTGAGCACGAGAGCTCCCGAGGAGGCCAGGCTGGGCTGACCGCCACCCCAGGCTGGCCCGCCCGTTGGCCCTCGCTGCGGGACCAAAAGCAGGATCTGGACTGGGGGCCCCCGTCCCCCACCAAGACGTGAGGCCTGCACGTCTCTGGGGTGCCTTGGGGATGTGTGGCGACCGTGGGCCTGAGAGATGGCTGTGCATCTGCGGCGAGGAGCCCTGGAATGGGGCTCGGCTGACCTTGGCCTCTGCAGCCCCGGGCAGGCGGGGTGCGAAGACTGGGGTGGTCACACCCTGAGTTCCAGTCCCCCATGTAGGACGGGGCATTTGCCAGCCACCCGGAGCACCGCGAAGCTGGAGGCCACGTGCCGACCGTCCGGGTGCCAAGTGAGTGGCGTCCCAAGCTGCAGGGGGGCACAGCGGGCCATTTCCTGGGGATTCCCCAACGCGGTGGCCTGGGCTCAAGTGGCCTGAGTCAGGAACCATT